TGCTACCACACTTGTTCTAGTGCATTCGATGGCGGATTCTACAGCGGAAGGTTTGGGGGTTTCGAGATAGCGGGAGCAGGGGAGTGCGAGGAGGAAGAAGGGATGATTGGGGGATTTTGGGTGGGTCAAAGTCTTCGTCGGCATACGGAGACTGACCTGCTGGCCACGTCCAGCCAGGTCAAGTCGTCGTCGGTGCATGGAGAGATGTTTTTTTTTCTTGTAATCAGATACTCCTTTCGTTTCAAAATGTTGCGCATAAAAATTGTTTTAAAAAGTCAAAGCTCATAAAATCTGATTAAGTTTATAAAGAAGACACTTACGTCGAGAAATACTAAACAGATATAATTAGATTCATCATAAGATGTAGTCTGATATTTTATATATTTTGTATTGTGGATATATAAGTAGTTTTTTCTACACACTTGGTCAAAATTTATAAAGTTTTGCTTTTTATTTAAATCAGCATGTTTTTCATTCGAGAGTTGTCACAACTATTTTTCCTGCGGGGATCATTCGTGTCACAGCAAAGTGCGCTGATCGAAAACGAGAGCATCGCTCATGATCCCTCCCACCCGCTTCAAGGGAAGGAGAATAGCCCCTGCACCATGAGGCTCCCGCGGGAAAGATGCGACACCGTGCAAAAGCTTGCGACAAGGATATGTGTGGACGCGTTGGAGGAGGAGTGCCACCAAATTTTCTCTTCGTTGCACATCGGCCGAGGAAGGCATTGCGTGGGCGAGGGGGAAGGCGACGTCGCCCGTCCTGGAGCAGTGCATGCGATGGAAAGCATTCTAGCCTCTCTAGCCCCCGGCTCCTAGTAACCATAGAGGCCTTTCTTGGCATGGGCACTTACGATTCGATGCGATGCACTGGCGAGGAGCAGATTTCAGTGTTGGTCCTTGAGGACTCCGACGGATTCATGTTCTTCTCGTGGCGGCGCATCGGGTTTTTTTTTAATATTCTCGAAGACGCATCAATGGTAACGTGCTCTCTATGGTGTCGAGGGCCCCTGATGTCACTGATGATAACGTTGTATGGGCGTCGTTACCCGCTCCTGGCGCTGTGAAGTATAGGGCTACAGATTTATCGGTTCCACTCCTTTCCCTTCCCTTCCCTTCCTAGTCCAGGCTCCTCTACCACCACCGCCGCTCACCAGGTATGGTGATTTGCATCTTGTGAGTGATGTAACTTGGTACCTGTTGATGCTATAATGATGATCTTGATATGCAAATGTTCTGCTCTTCATGCTCTACATGTTGGTGTGCTTTGCATTCATGGTAGTGTGCATATTGATATATTAATCTTTGTTGCAAAAGTGCATGTTGTTGTTAACTGCTGAAAACTGCTGTAACTTGCCTATTGTCTTTTTTATATCTTTTTGTGTGATTTTCTTTTGAGCACCATGTCTAGATGTTTTAGGAGCATAATCATGCCACCTTTGCTGTGGTGCAATCCATGTATTTTGATATGCCCTGTAGTGAGTGCAACAAGCTTGTGAAGTGGGCTACTTGCTGTTAATATTCTGTCAATGCTGAATCTGTTATATCATGATGCCATGTTTGCTTGATGCTACCAATTAATCCATGCATAATCTGAAGATGCTTAGTTGACATGTTTTGTTTTCCATGCTATGCTCTATCATGCCATGCCTTTTGATGCCCTATATGTGTCTTGTAGCATACGTTTTCATTGCCATGAACATGTCTATATGTTGTTCCAGTTTTCTATTAACTTCATGATGCCTTGTTGTGAGCTTGTTATTGATTTATCCATGCCTCTTCTGGAGATGCTCAAATTACATGTTTTGAAGTATGTTATGAGTACTTTGTTCACATGCCATGGTTGTTAATTTTGGATAGCATATGCCTCTGTTCCATGCTTGTAAACATGCTATCATAATGTTGTTGTTTTACCCTTGCTGAAATTGTTCAACATTCAATCTTGTCATGTTGGTTCCCACTAATCCATGAGCCATATGTATATGATGTCTTGATGTTATTTTCTATTTGTTATGTTTAATTTGATGCCATACCCTTGGTTGCTATGTTTACTTGTTGTAGCTTGTCTCTTTCTTGCTCTCAAGTTGCCATCATATTAACTCTGCTCATACATATGCTCCTGTGTTATAAAGTTGCATTTTGCATTGATCATATTGGTTTAATCTTGATGCCTATAAACCTGAACCTTAATGATATATAAAGTATGTTATCATGATATATAAAGTATGTTATCTGTACATGAAGTGCATGTCAAGTTTATGCTCATATGATTCCTGTAGCATATTGTTTTGACGATTGCAAAGTGCCTACTTGTTGTTTTGGGCAGGTTGTTGTTATAACTTGTTTGGAGTGTATGTGTTGCACCGTTGCTCCGTTTTGAGCATGCTCTATATGAGACTTGCTTAGATTTGCATGTAGATTCATATTGGCTTGTTACATCCTTGTTTTGAGGTGTGTGCCTGATGTTTGAAAGCATTTTGCATCAATGCCATGTTTAACTTGTGCTGCTCATATCTTCTAGGCCGTAGCTCCAAATTAAATGACTTTACATGTAACTTGACTAGAATCCCGTGTAGATCATCTTGGTGCATATTAACTTTCTGTTTAACAACTTGAACATAAGGTTTATTCAGATCTGGACCAATTTTGAAATTTGCATATGGGGACTTACCGGAATTGTTATATGTTATTTTCGGCCTCATTTAAACTTGCTTGCATGTGATGTTCTTGTATGCATCATCTCTTGCCATGGGTAGCATCATATAGCCTTTGTCATGCATCATGCTTGGTTGTGCATCATGTCATGTTTATGTGTGGTGTGTTTACCTTATTGTTTGCTTCTTTCGGGTTGTGCTTCTTCTCGATAGTTCCTGTTTCGTTGCGACCGTGAGGATTCGTTCGACTGCGCTTGGTTCATCTTCGCTCGTTCTTCTTCTTCATGGACTCATTCTTCTTCCTAGCGGGATTTCAGGCAAGATGATCGTTACCCTGGATCTCACTACTATCATTGATATGCTAGTTGTTTTGATGATATCGCTATGTCACGCTTCCTACCACTTGTTTATCAAGCCTCCCAAATTGCCATGTCAGCCTCTAACCTTTTTCACACTTCCTAGCAAACCGTTGTTTGGCTATGTTACCGCTTTGCTCAGCCCCTCTTATAGCGTTGTTAGTTGCAGGTGAAGTTGAAGATTGCTCCATGTTGGAACATGATTATGTTGGGACATCACAATATCTCTTATTTTAATTAATGCATCTATATACCTGGTAAAGGGTGGAAGGCTCAACCTTATGCCTGGTGTTTTGTCCCGCTCTTGCCGCCTTAGTTTCCGTCATACCGGTGTTATGTTCCTTGATTTTGCGTTCCTTACGTGGTCGGGTTTATGGGAACCCCTTGACAGTTCGCTTTGAATAAAATTCCTCCAGTAAGGCCCAACCTTGGTTTTACATTTGCCTAACAACCTATAACTTTCCCTTGGGTTTTCGCGAGCCCGCGGGTCATCTTTATTTACTCCCCCCCCCCGGGCCAGTGCTCCTCTGAGTGTTGGTCCAACCTAGAGCCACTTGCGGTGCCACCCCTTCACCCGGGGTCTTCGGTTGCTGTACGTAGTGTTCATCCGGTGTGCCCTGAGAACGAGATATGTGCAGCTCCTATCGGGATTTGTCGGCACATCCGGGCGGTCTTGCTGGTCTTGTTTTACCATTGTCGAAATGTCTTGTAACCGGGATTCCGAGTCTGATCGGTCCTTTCCAGGAGAAGGAATATCCTTCGTTGATCGTGAGAGCTTGTGATGGGCTAAGTTGGGACACCCCTGTAGGGTTTAAACTTTCGAGAGTCGTGCCCGTGGTTATGTGGCAGATGGGAATTTGTTAATATCCAGTTGTAGAGAACTTGACGCTTGACTTAATTAAAACGCATCAGTCGCGTGTGTAGCCATGATGGTCTCTTCTCAGTGGAGTCCAGGAAGTGAACACGGCTTGGGTTACGTTTGGACGTAAGTAGTTCAAGATCACTTCTTGATCATCACTAGTTTGTGACCGTTTGCGTAGCTTCTCATCTTATTCTTGTATTCGTAAGTTAGCCACCATATCATGCTTAGTCGCTGCTGCAAGGTCACCACTTATCCTTTTCCATCCCCTTTAAGCTTTGATAGTCTTGATACCCATGGTAATGGGATGGCTGAGTCCTCGTGGCTCACAGATTACTACAACAACAGTTGGAGGTACAGGTAATGCGATGATCATGACACGAGAGCTATGTTTACTTGTCTTGGAGTTCTTCTTCTGCTTCTTCTTTGATCAGGGGATAGGTTCCACGTCGGCAGCCTGGGCCAGCAGGGTGGATGTCGTTTGAGTTTCTGTTTGTGTTTCATCTATAGTCGGATGTTGCTCTTATGTATGATGATGTTGTATTCGTGTGGCATTGTATGCCTCTTGTATGTATCCCCAACTATTATGTAATGCTACGATGTAATGATATCAACCTTGCAAAAGTGTCTCCAATATGTACTTCTATCCTTGGTGGGACCTTCGACTTCCTTTAGGATAGGGTCGCATATTGGGCGTGACAGGCGACATGTGGCGGAGTGGAGGTGGTGTT